AGCTGTGGGATTTACAACACGCAAATTCATCCTCTCCTCCCGAAACACATTAAAGTAGGTCTCCGGTAAACTGGGAGAAGAGCAGAGTAAACTTTATAGTTACCTACACAATCTGTATATGATATCAATAAAAACATGTCGTCAGATTATATTTGTAAGGATCATTGTTGCCTTTTCCATAGACATCGGCGTGTATTTTACAAACTGTAAATGTATGGTTTTGCTAGTACTTGTGTATTTAAATATCTGAAACCTAAAATAAATATTATATGGTTGAAAACACTGAATATTTGTGATTAATATGACAAGCGCTCAGCGCGTCCGATCTGCCTCTCCTCGTAATTGGCCATTTGGTTAGGTGATGGGGAGTTCGATATTATTTGTTAAATATAACAAAAAGTTGTGTGTCTGATTGGTCCAAATGCTACAGCGCGTCCGATCTGCCTCTGCGCCAGCCAAAGCGCGAAAGCGGATTTAAATTCAGCAGTTGATGACGTGACGCACTGAAAGTTCTAATCACACCGGTGTGATCATACGCTTCAGGGACCAGCCAAGACTGATCACACTGGTGTGATCGTACGTGTTAAAGGGTTAAATTCCTGAGTGTGAAGATGAAATTGAATTGGAATGCAGGTAGAGGAATTTAATTTAAAGACATTCAACACAGGTAATCTATCTACTGTTCTCTCTGTCCAATCTTTTATCATTTTGACTATAAAAGGACTTACATGGAGAGCACAACAGGCAATGACCATCATTTATTCTGTATTTCATGGGGGCAATGATACAGTCCTTTATCTTTGACTTTAATGATCACTAGCCAATATCAATCATTGATCACGTAAAGTGACAAATCACCGCAATCAAGATAATGGTCATATCAATCCGGCAGGCATCTGAGTATTGTCACACACACAGCATTGCTGGTTAAGCTAGCACCAGCATCCAAAGCATAACATATGCCATTCTTCTCAGAAGGGAACACAGAGGCAGAGATAGGCAGACCGCAGTGTGACCACAGCTCCACTCGCCGATCCACAGGGACTCGTTTAGCCCACAAAGGAAATGCTATACTTAATGTTCCAATTATCCTGCCTGTCCATAAGTCACCTGCTCTCCTCCTCTACAGTCACCACGCAGCCCCACAGTAGCCTAAAAATAAAAACGCACCGCATCTCTCTGTGGAATGAGAAATGGGGGAAGAGGCAGGGAGGGAGACTGCAGGAGGGAGGGAGGAAGGAGGAGAGGAGGCAAAAGATAGCAGGGGAGTGTTAAATCCTCAGAGGGGCTTCATTATTCAGGAGAAAGAACATAATAACCATCCTAAATAAGCTGACTGTCTGAGGTTTCATTAAGATGTGTTAATAAAGAGTGTGCAGCGCATGGCTTGGTAAAGATGGGGGCACAGTATGACTGTTGTGTGCCTGATAGATACTTCAGCCTCATACAGTGATGGCGAGTAAGAAGAAGAGAGAAAGAGAGAGATGGAGAACTGCTAACAGGATTGATTTCCTGTGAATGTGGAGTGGAAAAGGGCAGGGAACAACTGCTGCAGCTGAGTGCAGAGCACATACAGCATCTCCACTCCCACACAGGGAGCAGATCAATAGATTTGACAACACACACACACACGCACAGACTGTGCACAGTGGGAGTCACCGCTGGTTACACAGGAAGAAAGGCTCTCTCTCTCAAAAGTAAGTCAGGAGATGGCGTCTCTTTTGATGTACTATACTTTTATCCAGGTATATGCTCTTTCTACACCATTCTTGGCACAGAAATCTCAGCTTTCATTTCTGACCTGGTTCCTTCTTCTACATACAGAGGGTTCAAAAAGTCCACTAGTGAAAATGCTTCTATTTTGCATTATTGTCCAATTTGACATGTATTTGTAATTTAAATGTCTTAATATCTAGTATGTACCCATTTAGCTTTAATGTCACCAGCACTCAACCTGCATGAACGCCACAAGTTTGTGTAAAACTAGATGATCCTCCAGCATCAGAATCAGAATCAGAATCAAAAAGAGCTTTATTGCCAAGTATGTTTGCACATACAAGGAATTTGTTCTGGTGACAGAAGCTTCCAGTACACAGAGACAACAACAACAACACCACACAGATAATAAGAAATAAAGATATGTGAATAAAATACACACACACATATATATGAATGGAATAAGATGTAGGGTAGTACCAGTCAGATGGTAAGAGTTCAAAAAGGAGATGGCTTGGATGCGAGGGATCCAGAGTGATTTTCTGAGCCCTTTTCCTCAGTCTGGATATATATAGTTCTTGAAGGGTGGGCAGGGGAGCACCAATAATCCTTTCAGCAGTCTGAACCGTCTTCTGTAGTCTTCTGATATCTGATTTTGTAGCTGAGCCAAACAGACAGTTATTGAAGTGCACATGACAGACTCAGTGACGGTTGAGTAGAACTTTGTGACCAGCTCCTGTGGCAGGTTGAACTTCCTCAGCTGGCGAAGGAAGTACAATCTCTGTTGGGCCTTTTTTTTTTTTTTCATTTTGAGTCAATGTGATTGTCCCACTTCAGGTTCTGAGAGATGGTGGTGCCCAGGAATCTGAATGACTACTGCAGCCACAGTGCTGTTGTTCATGATGGTGAGTGAGGGGAGTGTTCAGCTCCAGGTTGTTAAGACTGCACCAGACAGCCAGCTGCTCAAGCTTGCTTCTATATGCAGACTCATCATCGTCCAGGATGAGACCGATGACTGTAGTGTCGCCTGCAAACTTCAGGAGCTTGACAGAGGGGTCAGTAGAGGTGCAGTCATTGCTGTAGAGGGAGAAGAGCAGTGGGAAGAGAATGCATTCCTGAGGGGCACCAGTGCTGATGGTGCAACTGTTTGACATGAATTTCCCCAGTCTCACTAGCTGTTGCCTACCTGTCAGAAAGCTGGTGATCCATTGACGGATAGATCTAGGAACAGAGAGGTGGGTTAGTTTGTTCTGGAGGAGTGCTGGAATGATTGTATTGAAAGCCGAACTGAAGTCCACAAACAGGATCCTCACGTTAAGTGGTTTGTCTAAATGTTGTGTGATATAATTCAGTCCCATGTTGACTGAATCATCCACAGACCTGTTTGCTCGATAAGCAAACTGCAGGGGGTCCAGTATAGGTCCAGTGATGTCCTTCAGATAAGCCAACACTAGTCTCTCAAACGACTTCATGACCACAGATGTTAGGGCAACAGTTCTATAATCATTAAGTCCTGTGATTTTGGGGGTCTTCGGAATGGGGATTATGGTGGAGCGTTTGAAGCAGGCAGGGACTTCACACAGCTCCAGTAAACTGTTAAAGATCTGTGAAAAAATGGAGGCCAGCTGGTCAGCACAGGTTTTCAGAGAGGCTGGTGAAACACCATCTGGGCCTGGTGCTTTTCTTCTCTGACATTCACTGATCTGATGTGTAGGAGGCGGGGGGAGGGGGGTTGCTGGAGATGTTAATGGTTGTGTAGAGAGATGGTCATATTGGGTGTGGGGTGTGAGGCCGGGAGTTTCAAATCTGCAGTAAAACTCATTCAGGTCTTCAGCAAGTTGTTGATTCACCTCAGTGCTGGGGGATGGCATTTTGTAGTTTGTGATGTCTTTCAGGCCTTTCCACACTGAAGCAGGGTTGTTTGCTGAAAACTGGTTTTCCAGCATTTTAGAGTAGCTCTTCTTAGCCACTCTGATCTCCTTTGTCAGTGTGTTTCCTGGCCTGATTGTACAAGATTCTGTCCCCACTCCTATAGGCATCCTCTCTGGCCTGACGAAGCTGAGTTTTCCTGTGAACATGGTTTGTCATTGTAAGTCCTGGTAGGATTGCACATATCCTCACATAAACTGATGTATGATGTTACAGTCTCTGTGAGCTCGTCCAGATTGGTGGCAGCAGCTTCAAAAATACTCCAATCAGTGCCGTCAAAGCAGGCTTGTAAATCCCGCTCTGCTTCATTAGTCCACCTTTTTACAGTCCTTATTAGAGGTTTAGCTGATTTCAGTTTCTACCTGTAGGTCTGTATAAGATGAACCAGACAGTGATCGGAGAGCCCCAAAGCTGCCCGTGAAACAGAGTGTTATGCATCCTTTATTGTGGTGTAACAGTGGTCCAGTATATTACCGAAACTGGACATGTAATGTGCTTACTATATTTTGACAGTTCACAGGATAGATTTGCTTTATTAACGTCTCCAAGAATGATTATGACCGGGTATAGTTGCTCTGTGATTTGATCAGCCAGCTGTTGTAACGCTACGATCACGCATGTTTGTGGAGGAATGTAATAACACTTACGCGAATACAGAGAATGAATCGCCAGATAGATTTCAGTTTTTCTTAGTTTAGTTTTTATTATTAATTCTGTTAACAAAATATCTTATTTTTTAAAATGATAATAGCACTGCATATAATAACACTGTAGTATATACATGTACATTTAAAATGTTATACGCATTCCCTGGGATTCTAACCTATGACCAGTACCATGCTCTACACTTTGGACTGTGCTGTATGTTTGTTTTTTTCTTAATTTGTATCTATCATGCATTTTACATTTGCATATCTTCTTCTGTCTCAGGTATGGTCAATGGACGGTTACTTTAAGGGACGCCGTGTGCTGGAGTATCGCACAATGAATGACTTCATGAAGGGCCAGAACTTTGTGCAGCATCTCCTGCCCCACCCTTGGGCTGGTACGGGTCACGTGGTGTACAATGGTTCCCTCTACTACAACAAATACCAGAGTAACATAATCATCAAGTATCACTTCCGATCCCGAAGCATCCTGGTGCAGCGCAGCCTTAGCGGCGCGGGCTACAACAATACCTTTCCCTACTCCTGGGGTGGATCATCTGACATCGACCTCATGGCCGATGAGAACGGGCTATGGGCCGTCTACACCACCATTCCCAATGCTGGAAACATCGTCATTAGCCGTCTGGAGCCACAAAGCCTAGAAGTGCTTCAGACGTGGGACACAGGCTTCCCTAAACGGAGCGCTGGCGAGTCGTTCATGATCTGCGGCACACTCTACGTCACTAACTCCCACCTGGCCGGTGCTAAGATCTTCTTTGCATACTACACCAACACCTCAACCTATGAGTACACAGACATCCCCTTCCATAACCAATACTCCCACATTTCCATGATGGACTATAACCCCCGAGAAAGAGTGCTCTACACTTGGAACAACGGACATCAAGTCCTCTACAATGTCACATTGTTCCAGGTCATCAAAACCTCTGAGGACTAGGTCACGCAGACCTTACAAACACATCTGCTTATACACAAATGTACACACACTGATACACCCACACAAATCACACACATTTATGTGGAGGAGGAGATGACTAAAGCTTGGACTTTTTTACTGCATTCCAAACTTCATAGAGTGCTATTATTCATCTAATGTTCTGAGGAGAGCAAGATTGGTACTGGTATACGGACTTAGCCTTTATTTTCTTTCCTGTGATGATTCAGCATGAGTACTTTCTTTTTATTTGTGGAAAAAGAATAAATAAACATCAAACTTTACCATTTTCAAGTTTCACCTTTTTCTTTTACCCCACAGATGCCAATGGTTAATAATGGCTGCATACTGTAATGAAAAGTTTGAGTAAATGCTTATTCGCAGAGTATTCTTTGTGAAATCTTTCACAAAGCCTTTATCTAAACTCCAGTTGTAATATAACTAGAGATGTGCCGCAGCAGGGTTGAGCCAAGTTCCTCTTGACTGCCTCAGGAAGTGAATCCAGCTCCTGTTTGGTGTCAGCCATCCTGAGGAGAGACGTCAGTCAGGCGGAGCTCCGTGACATGAAGGGCTGAAAGGTGAGGTGGCAGCGGAGAAGAAATGGGAGACAGTGGAAGAAGGAAAAAAAACAAAACAACAGTATTCAGTCGGACAGATGAGGCCCCGGGCTACAGTGATGCCTGCTGCTGCTGTTGTTGTTTGCACTTGCCAAGTTACAATCTGTTTCCATGTCTCTTTCGAGGCATGCCTCCTCAGCAGGCTGTGTAAAAATATTAAACCGTGGGGTTGTCCAACTACTTGTTAAATGTGTTCTTTATTTAATTTGAGTTAAGACCAAAGTATACTTCCCTTGTCCGCATTCTTCTTCGGCTCGAAAATAGTCCGTGTGACGTAATTTTGTGATGCAGACAGCCTGCCAAGCCACAATGAGACGAGTATGAAGTAGGACAGACACTATTATTCCTAAACACCAGAAAAACAATTAACAAGTGTAAAATGTGGGAAAGTCCACAAAACTCTATTCCTGGCTATGTGTAGCACTTACTGCTCTGCATGTTCGCCCAAAAGATCAAAATGTTGGAAACGAGCAGCTGAAGTTTATTTTTAACATTTAAGTGTGATCTTAACTGGTTATATGGGACATTTCAATACAGATTGTTTTGTGAATCTGTCACAGTTATGCTGTTTACAGAGAAGTCTTAAAGGCACAGCAGCAAAAAAGCAATTACTTCAAAGGGGCAGAACACAAACAATGGTCAAACTAAATGGCTAAATGATAAACCTTGACTAATCGTATGATAACACCTTTAGCAGCAATAAAGGTAAAGGTAATACGTGTATAAGAGAAGAAGTCAGAGGTGAAGGAGAAAATCATGCAAATTCAGCAAACTGGGTGAATATTCAGATGCCACTGTCTCCTCTTCAGTTTTCCTTTGTGGGTTCATCACATTGTTGTTGCAAAGAGCAGCTGTGCATGAATCTCAGGTCCGCTTCACACTGCATGCAAAAGCAGCACGTAAATGATGCAGTAGCCCAATTACAACAGCAGACACGCATGATCCTTTCACAAGAGTGTTTCCACTGCGTAACAGAACTGTGGAACTACACAGAAAATAAAATGATTTTGAGTTACCGTATTGATTTTTTTTCCTTTAGTAAATTATGAAATGACTATCAGGAGTTGGCCTTTAAGAATTACAAACTTGATTGTTGTCAAAGTAAATTTGCATCCAAATGGTTATTAAATGACATAAAATAAAACTGAATCTGGTACAGTATATGGTCTATTGTGTTTCCTTTTTTTACGAATATTCCCACAGTAAAAGTTAATAGGAAGTAAAAGTGATGAAAAGTAAGGAAATTTATTAATTTCCACAAAAATACACACAGAAAAATTTGAGTGAGAGAAACAAATACGGAAAAAGTATAGTCCAGTGCAATAATTCATGGGGTATTGATCACTAAATCAGGTGGGCAGATCACAAGAGAACTGGGTCTGTTATCTTTTTTAGACTGGAATAAAAAGAAAATGCCACAGACCCATAAAAAAAACACTAACATTTCAGTACGTGATTGGCATAAGTGTACAAAGTGGCATATCTGTGATGCTTTATTTGCAGCGTAACCTCTTGCATAGCTGAATGTGCACCAAAAACAAATTCATTAAATGTGGTTACAATCTGTCCCAGACCCCCTCCAAATGTAATTTCTAATGCATCTTGGGTGCATTTACTGTATACTGGGCTTTTAATGTTAAGTGCCATTCAATCATGATCTGATCGCCAAAAATGCATGTTAAGCGGGCCTGTTCATCAAGCCTAAAAGCTATTTTTTCAAACAATGTGTGAGTAGTTCACTGTTATTTTATATTACTTTATAAAAAATCCCTTTATTGCTTACAATTGTGCTGATAAGTAGGTTTATAGTGCATTTTCAACATTTTCTTCTGAGATCACCATGCTACACAGGGCACAAAACAACTCCCTGTTGAAGCTCCACTAGAAGTGCTGCTTGAGCGTGCAGTGTGAATGCTGCAACCTGTTAATAAGGCCACTTTACGTGTTGTGTAAAATAGGCTCTATGCAGTTTACAAGGTAAATAATTAGAAAATTATCTGATGTGTGTCACGCTGCGGCATATAAGACTGTGAAGTGTTCTAAATAATAGTTTCATTTGTATACATACAGGGAATTAAAGCTTTGATGCAGTGAGGCCGCTAAAAATAGAAATCGTGCTGAGAATGCAGCAATGCTTTGAAGCCGAGCAAAAGAAATCTAAAGAAAGCTGTACCATCTCCCTTTCTTCTCCTTTCTCTTTCAGGCACAAACATGTACCTAGTCCTCATGAATCTTGATTGTGGGGAGAACAACATTAGCACAGTCACATCTCTTATTTGAGTGCCTCAAATCAGTAGGCATCCATGCTGAATAAAAGATGAGCCTTTAACAGCCTCTGTTGCATCTACACTGCGTCCTTCTCTTAACACTGCTCAAGCAGACTAGTGCATTGGGACTACAGTAAACTTTCAATGACATAAGCAAAGCTGTCTGTTAGCATCCTGCTGCATGTCTGTTTAAGTGAAAGAGGTGATGTGATGGAGAGAGACGGACTCACGGATACACCACCCTTGTGATCATATGTGTCTACATGTGTGTTTGTGCGAGTGAGACATCAGTGTGATTCACACAACATCTTCCGCTTCTCGGTGAGGCTGCAGCCGGCCCAGCATGCACTTCTGTTTAATTAAGACTTACAGCCCAAACGGCAGGCATGACAGCTGTTTCATACACAGACAATTAAAAGAGCCACAGGCCCTCCCTTCCACTGCAGTGTAAAAACACTCTGTTACTGTAAAATGGCACTCTCCCCCATACACCCTTTCTTCTTCACATGAAGCACATCCTAGTTCAAATGAACACACAGGGTCCACTCACTTTGTGGAGTAAAAATCCCAGTTGTGTAGTAACGGTCACTAGAGTTTGACATTAGCATGTTGCTAAGCTAACACAAAAATACAGAACAAACAAATATTGAGCAAGACAGATTTTAATTCAACTGAATTTCATTTAGTTGTGTTTAGAACCATTTATTACTTTTTTGGTACTGAATTAAGTATCTTTTTACTGAGCTTGTTGCAATGCATTCTGAGATTAGCTAAGCAGTTAAATTCTGTGAATGGTTAAATATTTACAGTATGTTTGTTATTTGGCAGAGGCTTCTATGGGAACTGAAGGTCCCATTGGATTGAAGCTATACATTTTATATGTTACCTCAGAATCAAACCCAAACTTAAGTTAGCACACAGGAACAAAGTGAGCAAAAATCCAGTTTTATGGCAGCTAAGAAAGTGTTTATGGTGAGTAAAGTTATGAATATATGGGGCCACTCACACAGAACATATTTTTGCTTTGAAAAACACAAGTCGCGGGCAGTGGAATGGGGAAAAATTCAAGGCCATGAAACATTGCCTCCTTTGCCCCTTCAAGGAAATGCCCCTGCTCCATATTTTCTATTAGCGTTACAACCCATCATCTACCGTTACTACAGTTACCTGGTATTGGTTTATGTTGTAGTGACAGCACTTTATCATACAGCATCACTACACCACTGCTACGCAGGGTTCTGGACAGAAATACTAAAAATAAAGTGGCACAACTGTTTATAGTGAATTTGCCCTTCAATCTTTCTGCCTCCTATCAACAACACGAGGCACCTCAGATTGAAATTAATTCTGGCGCTCTCAAAAGTTTGTACAGCTGTTTCCCCCCTTGAGAAAGAGGTGTAAAGAGGACAGACAAGAGGAAAGCAGGTTATAATACGTTTTCATTCTCTTCCTTATCTCCCATGCTACGCAGGGTTCTGGACAGAAATACTAAAAATAAAGTGGCACAACTGTTTATAGTGAATTTGCCCTTCAATCTTTCTGCCTCCTATCAACAACACAAGAGGCACCTCAGATTGAAATTAATTCTGGCGCTCTCAAAAGTTTGCACAGCTGTTTCCCCCCTTGAGAAAGAGGTGTAAAGAGGACAGACAAGAGGAAAGCAGGTTATAATACGTTTTCATTCTCTTCCTTATCTCCCATAAGACACCACTTCATAATTGCCCTCGTAATTGCATTTTTTTTTACTCACATTAATTGGTACACTCAGCTCTAATTTCATTACATGCTGATTTGTGAAAGACAATAAAGCAGAAATCAATTTTGCAGCGAAACCACAGGTCATTTGTCTTTATAACCCTTCTGCACGGACACGCCACACTCCAGCGAGGCAATAAAACCATTACGGCTGGTTTAATAATATAAGGTTGCAGTGAAATCCGGTTTGACGTCATAGAAAGGATGCTGCAGGTGTGTGGGTCAGAGAGATTGTGGTTGTGGTGTCAGCTCAGAATGGTTTCAATAAGAAGAGAACAAGATGAAGACAAATTCATAGTGAGATCAGGTGGAATGCCCTGAGCCCCATAGTGGGGAAGAAAAAAACAACCTTGCTGGTATGGCTGCTGATAGTTATTGGGTAAGAATAGGGTAAGTTAGCCAAGCAGCCGTAATATGAATCCAGCTGCTCAGCCAAGTCGTGCAGTCGGTGTGATTAAACCAGTAGCAGGACCGGAGCTTCACAAATAGAACATTCATAATCCACCCGTGTTCGTCTCAGACAGTATTACCTCTATTTCGCTCACTCACAAACTCAAATTCTGCTCAGACCAACAGCTGCATTAAATTTGTGAGCAGACTCCATACCGTCAACTATTGAATTTCCCATACCCTCCTCTCTAATACACCTCTCTCTCTGTGGGAAATCTGTTTTCTGATGGACTGCCTGTTTCTTCCAGAACCCCTTGTGTGTGCCATCTGTGCTCGCGTTGTTGTGTGAGTCTGCGTAGGTGTGTGGGGGCTGTATAGACGGGCACAAACTAACCTACACCAACAACAGGGCAAAGCACTATGTTTTCACCAGATTAACCATCACTTTCGCAAGAGAAAACCGTCTCTGTTAGCCAGGACATTATCTCAAGACTTGTTTTCAGTTTTTGAGCAGATTTTGTCAACTCAAAATCAATTAAATTTACTATCTTTATACATTTTCTTGGCCTTATTGTGAATTATTTATCCACACAAGTAATTCTGGTTACACTTAATTCTGATAGTCCACCTTACACATTCTATTAACTCTCATTAATTTTCAACTGCATGTCAACTAACTCTCATTAATTTTCAACTACATGTCGACATTATCTCAAGACTTGTTTTCAGTTTTTGAGCAGATTTTGTCAACTCAAAATCAATCAAATTTACTATCTTTATACATTTTCTTGGCCTTATTGTGAATTATTTATCCACACAAGTAATTCTGGTTACACTTA